CACCGCTCTGAAACTCTCGCTCCAGTCCGTGTTGCCGAGCGGTCGGCAACACGTACGGCTGAACCCGAGCCGTTTACCGGCTTCTCGCCGACCCGCCCTTCTCTGCTTCTGATTGGCTAGTAGACCTTAACTAGGAACTGAGCATGTGCAACTCCCAACAAAGATCATTTAGAGACAGATGCATCACTCCATAGCTAAAACGAAGCCTTCAACACAGGCTGAAAAGAGGAGCTGCAGCAACGTGCAGCATGACAAAAATATAACCATGGAAACTTGTTCTGGTACAAACTCTAAATAAGATGAGGAACCTGAAAATTAGCATACCCTCTTTAATAAAATGGTCTGCACTTATTTTAGAACTGCTCTCACAAACTGCAACTCCTCACAGGCAGCTTGTTGCCCAAGGACACTTCGACACTTCGACCCGGGGATTGAACCTGATTATTGAACCTGCTCCACCTCCCGAGCCACAGCCCCAGCAGCAGCAGCACGAACAGATTTCAACATGCTTCATTTCACGAGCGTTGGTTTGGTTTCAGACGTGGACACAACAAAAAGAATACTACATATACATATATATATACACATATGTATACATACACATAGACTGTATATTGTGTGTTTTTGTGTACTTTTTTAATGGTATTATAACAGTTACATAAAACTAGTAAACACATGTATTGGTAATGCACTGACCATGAAATGATCTTTACACACACACACACACACACACACACACACCACACACACACACACACACACTTAGTCCCTGTGATGCTGATGGTGAGCAGCAGGGGCAGCGCTCATCAGAAGGTTACAATCATTACCAGCAGGATGAAGGAGATTATATATTTAAAACCTGTCTGTTGCAACAGAATCAACTGGAGATTATTCATGAATTAAAGTAATAAAAACCTGAATATAAATCAATGAAACACATGTGCTGTTAATTCCTCTGTTCTGACTGACAGGTATTAGAGCGGTCATACCCTAACTGGAAGGTCCGTGGTTCGATACCCGGCGTCTGCATGTCGAAGTGTCCTTGGGCAACGTTACATCGGTGTGTGAATGAGTTAATTTCTGTTTCTGTGGGTGAATGTGATGTAAAGCTCTTTGGAAACAAAATACATACAAATACAGTCCATTTACACAGGAAGCTTTTATTCTGAAGGTCAAGTGACACGTTTACAGCTGTTTCCTGCAGTCACAGTGATCCACAGAGCCGACAGGTGAGTGTGAGAGGGCTGCTGTCAGTGTTTGTGTTAAAACACAGAAACCTGATCTCGGAACAATTTGTGTTATCGTCTCTTTACGATCCTGCATCGCACTTCCTGATTGACCCTAAGCTCCTGACCCTAAAGCCTGACCCTAAAGCCTGACCCTAAGCTCCTGACCAGCCTCATAAGGCCTCTGAGGATGCTGGAGAAATTAGCCTCAGTGTGGAGAAATGTGAGCTGAGGCGTCCTCAACACCTGACCTCTGCCCAGACCTGGACCTGAATCCAGATGTTCCAGACAGTTTGTATGAAATGACCAAACAATTACAGGAGGTTTATGATTCTTTGTTTTCAATTCAGAATTTTAATCGGGCCAATCAGAGATAACTTTGGTTATTTCTGGTTTCATGTGCAACCAGGTGACCAGCTCAGACA